GAGGAGAGACTAGGCATATTTCGTGCTGAGGTGGCGACCATGATGGGGTCGTACACACTTACATTCAGGGAGTTCTGGGCATGTAGAGCTCCAGATTATCATAGGGCGCGGGACCCTATAACGAGTACTAGATGGTTGGCGGATGTGGCTAACGCTTTCCGTACGAGCAGGTGTCCCGAAGGGAAAAAGTTCATATTGGCGTCCTGTCTTATGAAGGACAGAGCACGGGATTAGTGGGAGGAGGTCGGACATGTCATTGGAGATGATGCAACTTTGGATGCTATGACCTGGGCTAACTTTACTGCCAGGTTCAGAGCCGAGTTCACACCGGTTATTGAGGTGCATCAGTTAGCTAGGGAGTTTCAGGACCTCACCCAGACTACAGAGACCGTGGCGGAGATTACCACCAAGTTCAGGGAGAGGGCGCTTCTCGTTCCTCCTCAGTACGCATCTGATGAGGAAATGAAGAAGGCCCGTTATCATGAGATGCTGTGGAGTGATATCCGTCAGTTTGTGAGTCGGTCCAGCTGTAAAATGCTGGATGACATGATTGTTAGGGCTCCGGAGAGAGAGATTGACCTTGAGATGGAGAAAAAGAGGAAGCCGGAGGCGGCTTCAGGCACAGGGAGTTCGGGCAAAAATCCCAAGGTTTCAAATCACAGATCCAGGAGTCAGCAGAGCCACGATCGGTGTGGTAAGTGTGGGAGATTGCACGATGGGGCGTGCAAGGAAGGGAGTGTCGGCTACTATAAGTGCAGTCGGACTAGGCATATGAGCAGAGATTGTACAGCCACTACCACCACCATTGCGACATCAGATCTGATTTGCTTCCAGTGCAATCAGAGGGGGCATAAAAAGTCATAGTGTCCGAGTTTAGCTGCTGCAGGGAAAGTGTTAGCACCTGCTCCTGCTACCTTGAGGATTACAGATGGCCGTCAGGGCCGAGTTGAGACACTGCCCCAAACTCCAACACCTATAACCATCAAGATCCAATTCACAAATACTCGCTTACCAATTATCCTCAAAAGTCAAAACGGTCAATCATTGGTCAAAGTCAACAGTTAAGGTCAATAGTCCATGTTGACCCGGCTCGTCGAGTGCAATTCACCGAATCGTCGAGTTCTTCCTGAACTCGAGAAGTCGTATGGTTTCGGTTTTCTTGCAAACCTTATTATTTATCATTAAGTTTTATACGAAAGTATATCATATAATTCTTTTGCAAAAATATTCATGACATATATTGAAATTTAACCATTATGACGTGAGTTATCTACCTCTTCTAATAAATTAAACCTAAAATGACACGTGTTAATTTTTTAGAAATGTCTTTTTGACACGGAATATTTTTCTATGATTTTTATTATTTCTTTTTTTATGGTAACAAATCAATTTCAATTTGAATTCAAAATTTGAAAATACAAAATCATATCCTAATAACATTATTATGTTTATTTGTTGTTTAACAAATTAATTCATAATTACTTACAATCGATAATATCTTTTTTTTTTTTATATTTATTATTTTTTATCTATATAAAAATTTTAAATATACCGATCGTGATTTCCACGAGTTATAACCCAGTTAACAATATATAACACTACAATTTTAATTCTTTATAGAAAAAAAAATAATCTGAAACCGTAAAACTGATAATTTTGTATACCCAAATTCAAAAACCAAAATTTTTAGTTTCATTTTGAATTTTAGTAAAAATAGAACTATTCTCTATCTAGGTGTTAATAAATTTTGTTGTATTCTGGAAAAAAAATCATATATAAACCTCGGAAAAAACAATAGTTTTGATTTAGTTTGTTTTTATACATTTACAACTGTAAAAATAAACGCAATGAACCAAAATAAACTAGATTGTATTTTGAAGCAAAAATTTCAAGTGAAAAAACCAAAAATTTCGTTTCCGTTTTTGTTTTAGTCAAGCCCGAAATACTTCTTACCCGTAGTTGCTAACAAAATTTGTTTAATGTTTAGAAATTACATTGTATTCTAAAGAAAAATGATGTTTTTTAAAATTTTCTTTGATATAAGTGTTTTTTTTTTTTTTTTAATTTAAAAAATATGAGTGATTTTTCTTTAAAAAAAAAAAAAAAAAAAAAAAAAAAAACGAACGGTTTATTATGCATGTTGCCATTGCAACTTAAACAATTTTGCTTACCTTTATGCATCCGAATGATGAAATCCACATTGATCGCCGAATGTCCCAACAACATTATCACAAAACAAATGTCCAAGTCCGCTTAGGCTGTGGGCTGTCGTAACACCCTTATCGGTGGTGAACAGCACACCTCTTCCTCTTTTTTATACCGGCGGTAAGCCCGTTGGTGACCTTCCGATGGTAAAGTGATAGGGAAAAGATGGGTCTTTCTCTCTCTACTAAGGCTTTCATGATGAAGCTACCTGTGTAATTTGTTTTTGTTTTGAATCAATATATATATATATATATATATATATATATATATATATATATATATATATAGCAATTTAGTTCCATGTACGGAAAAGATTTTGACAAGAATTGGAGAACCACAAGGAAATTCACGATGCTAGATGAATTGTCTTGGCAAGTTGAGGGCTCTGAAATGAAAATACAAAAATGTTGCTAAATTAAATATCCGAGTTCCATCTATACATATATCTATCTATCTATACAACAACAAAATAACTTTGAGAAAAAAAAAAAATCAAATAAACAAAATGACTACTAGGTTTGATAAATCTCTAATCTCTGCTTTGCTTCTTGAATTAGTGTTTCTAGCGACCTATCTTGCATGAAATGTCCCTGCTTCAATGCCCATTCCAAAACTATAAGCACTTCGTCTTGACCCAATGTCTCATTATCTGGTACGTGCATGGCTATGTAGCAAAGGAGTATCAATGCCGGAAACTGAACCATTTGTTCACCAAAATAAGTCAATTGGATCAAGTGTTTAGGCCCACCCGCCTCCACTATCGCCTTACAATGATTCACATGCAGGAAATTATCAGTGCATGCAAACTTCACAAGCGCCACCGCTGCTTCCGCCGACACCTCCGTCTCGTTTTCATCCAACAGCCTCACCAACGGCGCTATTATTCTCGTTTCCGTCGCCCGAAACGTTCTTGCCAAACTCCCGATCGCTTGGATGCCCGGAATCAGAAGGTCTGAGTCTCCTTTCTCGATTATCTTAAGCAACTGGTCGACAACCGCTCGAGCCGCCGGAGATGTGGGTTTGAAAGCCGATCGTCTCAGTTCCGGATGTTGTTCCGCCACCGCTGTTATTTCTACCAACGCCATTAACGAGTTGTATTGTACTTCGCCTTCACCTTTCTCGACTAACACCGAGAAGCAAAGAAGAGCTCGTGATTCGGTTATGTCTCGACAGATTGATAGATTT